ATGACGGCGTCACCGCAGTTCCTGGCTGAGTTTCTTCTCTACTTGCGCAGCACACGTCGATTTAAAGCCTCTACCATCTCCACGTACCTGGTCGCCATTAACTCCGTCCTTGCCATCCCGGACGACCGGAGAATGACGAAAATTCCCGAACTTCAGGCGTTGCTGCGCTCGTTTCGTCTCGAAGACCAGAAAGCCAAGTTCAGACCGCCTGCATGGGATCTGAATGTGGTCTTAAAGGCTCTTCGGGAGGCTCCCTTCGAACCACTCCACACGTCTTCCTTTTACGACTTAACGAAGAAGACGGTGTTTCTACTGGCCTTGGCTACTGCCGCCCGGGTTAGTGAGCTCCACGCCCTCGACGTCTCTCGTGTCCGGTTCGAACGCGGGACTCATGGCGCAGTTCATCTTGGGCTGTGCTGGGACTTCATCGCAAAGAATCAACTCCCAGGACAGCCTGATAGATCCTTCACCATCCCTCCCCTTTAGTCGATTGTGGGTGCCGACGACGTGGAGGAGCTTTTATTATGCCCTGTTAGGGCCCTGAAGGTTTTCCTGCGACGGTCTAAAGCCTGCCGTAAGTCTAGTCAAATCCATCATGGAAGGCTGTTTTTGGCGATCCGACACCGTTTTCGCCAGCCACTACCTTCGTGATGTAGCCTTGGAAGATGTCGCCGGCGTTCATAGCTTTGGTCCCCTGGTGGTAGCTCAACAGGTCACCAACCCCCGAAACCACTGATTCTCCGTTACCCTGAGCGGGGCCCGTCGAACTCTCTGGTGTTTATCACCCCAGATTAGAGGGCTCTACTGCGTTCCGCATTCGCTCTTAGGTCAGTTCTAGTTTTGGCTTTCCCGCTTCATACTATTTCTGTCACCTATTTCGGGTTCCCTCTTTTGCATCGACTCTCGTTGCCTTCTAAAATCTAAATATTTTTTACATTTGAATACTTATCCAGCATTACAAAGTCTAAGTGCCCCCCCCCCCCCCCCCCCCCCCCCCCCACACACACACACACACCTCCCTGCGCTCCGCTTCCTTCCCTCCGATGTAATGTTAAAGCAGTTATGTGTTTCGCCATGACGTCATGTCTTCCGGGTCACGTGCCGACTGTGTGGGAGAGGGCGCTGCTTCCTGGACAGATGGAAACAACTTTCTTCAGCAGCTGGATCTCACACAGTTCGTCTCTCTGTCAAAGACAGCAGTAAATGCAATACGGAGTAATGCAGGATAAGTTAAAAAAAATAATATATTAACTATATAAAGCAGAATATTGAATAATTATAAGACTCGATGTACATTATATATGGTAAGCGGATGCATAGTACAATGGTCTGGTATGAACATATGTAACCGAATTACAATCAAAAATTCAAAAAATTCAGAATAACTGTATTACGAGTCTTTGAAAGGTATTTGGAAGTAATACTCTTAAGAAAGAGAATTTAAACATGGATGTTAACTTCTTCATGATGAGGAACACATCGTTTCGGAGTATATGCTTCCATTGTTAATTTTCCACCTTTTGTTATCTTATAACTTGTGTTGTTCTTACGTGAACATATATATGCTCTCTGCCTCATGTCATTCATTTACCTGATGAAGGAGTGAGCTTATACTCTGAAACGTTAATCCAAAGTAGACTACGTTTATGCGCCGGGACTATACATGTTTCCGAGTAATATGGAACTTAAGATCGGTCAAGTGATCGGTTATAATAATAAAATTGTTATTGGTACAATCCAATACTCCTTAAACTCAATTCGTGAACAAGTACGCTCCACCAGCTGCATAGTTTATATTACTGCCCCCAACTGCGAACACATCTCGTAAGTGATCTTCTTTTCATACAAAGCAGTAGAATGTCTGCACTTGTAAACACCAAACATGATTCAAAATTATTGTACCGTGTATAGTTTAAACGAAATCAGTTAATAAGATGTTATCGTGTTACTGGATTTTCTGCAATGTCTGGTCAAGTTTCGAGTGTTCAAAGACCGCCGTCGTTATTCTCTTGCATTAACGTTTTAGATAGTGGTGCGTCATCACATCGAGACAGCACGCAGTTCTATTGGACCCTGTTACAAATATCATGTGGTGGTGAGAAATTAATATTCGATCGAATAATGCAATGTCAGAGAACTCTCCCTCCCGTGTCATTTGGAAAAAGATATAAAGTACTGTCGAGAGTAGTAATAAATTCATTTTTAGACTTTAATTCTTGTATTTTGAGACAATACCCTTGTCGCCACGTGCACACCTGTCAGGGGTTATGCAATAAGCATGTTATCACCTGGCAATGGTGACCTGTCACAACACAGTATGATCTGTTTCATGTTGTGTGTCCCTGAGGCATATTTTTCTCTCAAAATTAACATTACTTTAGCGTGTAAGTGTTCATTTTCATATATGCTGGGATGGCTAGGACCCCTCTGAAAAATTGTGTGAAAGGTGCTATTTTGGTATGTGTTGATCATCACAAATTAGGGCCAAGCAACATCTATTTCTATTTCCTTAGCTTGCGGGCATCATTGCAAAATTCCTGGATGTAATAAATGTATGGTTGGTTCAGGTGAAATGGGGTTTAACGTTGCGTTCACATAAACCACAATACATATGTGTGTATATTTGCATAAGTAAGTAAGCATACAAATTTTCATTCATGTACCTTAAGTAGTTTCCTCAGCAGACCTGTCCCAATATCACTATGCACTCAGTCCAAGAACATGTTGATCAAGGGTCATAACTCTTTTCAAAAATAATGCACATCACCAATTTTTAACTGAGTTTTGACAAGTTTCTCTACGATTAGCATGCAAACGTTCATTCATGTAAAACTTCAGCAGTTGCTGAGAAAACATATCCCCATTTCACACAGCATGTACTAAGTTGAAAAAGCACAGAGCAAGGGTTATAACTCTGTAAAAAATTAATTAAGACACCATTTTCTTCCAACTCATTTAAAATCATGACCAGTAACACAAGAGTGTACAGTCATTTCTCTGACTCAAATAGTTTTTGAAATATGTTTTTTAATGCATTTGAATCGGAATTTTTGGCCAAGTCTAATCAAGGTTATTTGGCCAAGAACTTTAGGTATAGCGGCGATATGATATCGTTTAATAAACACCAACTGGCCAATCCCCTTTGACTAATATACCCAACTGAACCAGAAAGAAAGGAGACCAATGAGGACGCCTTATCTGTTTCATATTTCGATTTTTTCATAAGATTCAGTTCATAAAAAAATCTCCACTAGACTACGAAAAGAGAGATATTTATATCAGCATGCTTTTTCCACAAAGATTTCGAAAATCACCATGCTCTTGTTCAAAAGTTGTTTGTTTGTGTCTTATATTCACTAGGATGATATCCATCAACTAAGTCCGTTAGTCTAACAATCCGATGCCGATAGTTGCCTCTTACGGAAAGCATGGGTTGTTGAAGACCAGATCTGTCCCGGACGTTAACGTCAAGGCCTCAGTTTCAAACTTTCAAAAAGTGTAAAGGTGGATATGTGAAGGGCAACATTTGATGTCCGATGCAAGTCCCTGTTTTGACTTTTACCATAAATTCCTGCAGTGTTTTTTTCAGGTGAACAATTGAATTGGTTTTATATGTGTTTGTGATTGGTGCCCCGGCTGCGCATGATATGTTTACTTTTTCGCAAACACCCTGTATCATCACTATTTGTAAGTGATTCATAAACTCATGCTACAATGATCTACAATGGACTCCTTTGTGAGAGACTGTTTGTTATCATGGACATGTTTTTTTTTGCTTCTGTTTATGTAAAACGCCAGACAACATTGGACGTAAAAGTCATAATAGCGGTGATAATTATTTTATAGGATCACTGAAAATCAGTGATGACACCAGGTGTTCGCGAAAAGGTTAAGCATGTTCTGCCCTACCGGTAGCACCCGCCAGTCACACAATTTGCATAATAAGAAAACGTGTGTTGCCCCACGCCGAACACAAGTAATCCTGCCACAAGACGGTTGTCTGTAAACAAAACAGACAATAAAGTCGAAGGACCATAAAATCCAGTGGCATATCATATAATTGATTTGGACAAAGCCGGATGACAAGATAGTAATACACTTCATGTAAATTGTGGGTTCAAAAAACGAACATAAGGTTAAAACACCTGAACCCGACAATAATTCAATGTATTCCCATCAATTAGAATCATGTCTTAGCTATATAACTGAAGTCATTTGTGACGAGATTCAAGTCTTGACTCCAGCAGATAAAATCTATGGGCACCTTTGCTGGAAAATTTGTCTTTCATTCCGTTCATCAGAGCAGAGCTTATTTTGCACACTTTATTTATCAGCATGAACAGTTGTATCTGACCTTTCAGGGTATAAGTGGAAACGGATTCCGCGGTCTACACCGTTATCACGTGAGCGCAACCATCAGGACAATGAACAGGTACATGGCGTGGTTGGACGTCACCCCCTCTCTTGCATCTTGTTTTTTTATATATGAGCGTTCATAAAATGTATAATTTCTTTGTAATAATTCTTGGAAACATTCCAGGTGGAGAAATTTTGTTATGTTAAGTATCAATATGCCTGTGTTTATCGATTAGGAGAATACATGTACCTATATATGTTGTAATAATATTACAGGTAACACAATGACATGTCACAGACATTTCGTTCATAATATACTTAATAAACCTTTGTGATCAAATCATTAATGCAGTTGCCGATCTCATTGCTTTGACTTGATCTAAAAGGGGTATCGACGGGCTCCGAAGGGGCCCCGAAAGGGTTAAAAGCATATAATACTCTGGCTGGGACGAGCACATCTGCTTATAACTATATGATACATAGTAATCATATAAAAAAACATTTATTCAATAAAAAGTTTAAACAAATCTAAAAAGAACTTAATAACACGTTGAACAATAGTACTAGTATCACCACAACACGATATCTCCTCGCTCAGGTGAGGTAAATCGGCCTTGAACCAAATGAACAATATGTGATTATTTATAGATTAAATAAACAGGTTCGAGCTGAAACTAGTTTCCTCATAAGGAAACAACTGCGTAATAAGTATCTCAGAGACCACTGTGTGTGATAGACACATTTCGGAATTACAGGAACAATACGGAAAGAAGGTAACATTTTAATATTGGTTGTATATACTAGTATTTGTATGGAATGGTAACATGACGTTCAAATGTTAAGGTCGTGGATGACACGTTTACACTGTTTGGCATTTCAGTGTGTGCATGGTTGTATTGCCCGTAGTGTCTTTATCGTCATACTAATGTCAACTTATATATTATTCGTACCAAAACAAATTTAATTGGGCTTTTTGTGAGAACAAATATTTTTATACTTATTATTCACCATATCTTAAGAACAGTGGTGATGGCATTTCGTGTCTGTTTCTCATTTTACCAAATTGTAAAAGGAAATTCAACCCCAAAGCATTTTGTCAAAGGTTATGTTAATATTCCCCGCCACGAAGTGGGGCTTTGGATATAGGAACGAAGTGCGCCCGTTCGTCCTCTTCTCAAAGGGGGCAACTTTTCTCAAAAACCTATAAGTCAAATTTTCACACTGCCGTTACTGGTCATGATCCCAAATTAGTTCGAAAATTGGTGTCGTAAATTCATGGCCTTTGCTCTGTGCGTTTCAACCTTGTGCATACTGCGTGAAATGAGGACAAGTTTGATGAAGGCACATGGGGCGTTCTGCCCCAGGGACGTTTTGCACCCATTGACCCCAAGCACGGAGTCATGACAATCTAAATGACGTCACGCTAAAGATAGCTCATATAGTACATTCAAACCGGTCGAGAGCGTGAAATCGGGTCATACAGCCAATCGTCTGTCAGCTGTGTAAACCAAATGCTGTGATGAACTAGGTCACATAACAGCCTTGTCCACTGAACCGTTGAGGAAGGAGGTCCTCTGTATCCACGAGTTAACATACACACATACAAGCACGTTTATTATTGAATGAAACCCAGCCCCGTCTCTGTAGTTATGAATGGCTATGTAGTTGATAAATATAAAAGCTCTGTTTACATTGTTTAGGCTTCATTTCTCATGTAACCATGCCGGCTGATGGTTGGAAAGTTTATTTATCTGGTATTTATTTTAATCCCGAACACCAAGCTTCCTTTTCTGGGCCTGCTAAGTTATATCACATTGTGAAAAGGGAAGGTAAATGTGATATTAGTTTACATCACATCAAGAAGTGGCTAGCTTCTCAAGACGCCTATTCGCTTCAGCGACCTTTAAGATACAAGTTCAAGCGGAACAGAGTGGTGGCTTCAGGCCTCAATGCTCGATGGGATATCGACTTAGCTGGTGTATCTAATATAGCCTCGGACAATGATGGTGTGAAATACTTCCTCATAGCTATCAATGTATTTACACGTTTTCTGTGGGTGGAACCCCTCAAAAAAAAATCTAATTCGTGAAAGCCAGTATGAAACAAATTTGTTTAAGTGGGAGGTTAGGCACCCTACCACAGTTCAGGGGATTTGCCTCCCTTACACCAGTGTGTTGGTAATCGTAAACCGATCACGTGACGCACGTGACTGCATCAAACCTCTTTCTGCGTACACCAGCAAGCAGCCAAACGCGAATTTTTTCTGTAATTTCTTGTCCGTACGATGGTGAGAAGAACGATGTCAGGTCGGAGATCGAGGAAGCGGAAGATCCAAGCACCCAGCGACCGGAGATCGTCAACAAACCAACGAATCGAAGTTCTCACCCCGGCGATGCAGACAACATGGCGTCAACTACCGTCTCTCGGTCATCGCAGCTCGTCGACGCGAGGAATGGATCAGGTGATGTATTACCTCATGTTTTCAATAATGATACACGGTCTCATGTAGTGATAGGCTTAGATACCCCAACTATCCCACTAGTACAGTCGGTAAATCACAACACACACGCTCTCGCATCTGTTGCCATTGACAACGATACGCTTAACATGCCTATAAATGCTAGGATTGCATGCAGTGGTGACAAAATGGTTACTTTGTCAACTGACAATGTTGGTTCCTTCATCCCCCAACCAATTAGGGATAAAATACACAATAGGGAATATGTAGATCTGGCTACCCTCATTAAGGGATTGGATAAGGAGCAAAGTATGGATAGCACTATCAGAGTAAACTCAATGAGTCAATTGGAAATGTCACGCCAGTCGAAGGACATACAGTCAGTGAAAGAGTGGACAACAGCCTTTATCATATTTGTCAGCATATACCTGGAGAAATTCCCCGAAAGCCACCAGCAAATGCTTAAATATTTGCACACAATTAGATTGGCTGCCAGCAGGGGCCAGTGTTGGCAAAATTATGATAAACAGTTTAGGCTGCGCATAAGTAGATCCACAGACAAGGCATGGGGCACAATCAACGCGGAATTGTGGATGTTATACATGAATGTCACTCCTCAACCTGTGAACCGCAGTTTCACCACTTTCAAGCAGCCTTCACAATCTCCAACTGCAAACACCTTAAAAGTTGGTTTGTGCAGGGATTTCAATGACCCTGGAATTTTTTGGTCACAGACAACATTGCCGTTTTCCTCATGTTTGCTATCAGTGTGGTGGGAGCCACCCATTCCCAAAGTGCCGATTAAACCAATCAGTTACAGGAAATCAACCAACCCCAGAGGTTAATACATTTCAGTTTCGCAACAGAAACCTCCCAAAACGTGCAAGCATTGGGCCACACACCTATCAAAGTAGATAAGCTATTAGCATACCTGGAGTCCTACCCATTGTTAAGTGATGCCGGTGTTCTTCGTTGCGGTTTCACCGAAGGATTTCATTTACATTACACAGGACCCAGAGAGGCCAGTTTAGTTTGTAATAACCTAAAATCAGCTCAAGATCCCAATATGGAACAAATCATACTTGGGAAACTTTCCAATGAAGTACAATTAGGCCGAATGGCCGGTCCATATCATAACCCACCTTTACCAAACCTGAGGATCTCTTCTATTGGAATTGTTTCAAAGAAAGAAGTAGACGGGTACCGCATCATCCACCACTTATCGTATCCAGATGGTATGTCAGTAAATGATTTCAACAGCCCCAGCCTTTGTTCCGTAACCTACTCATCCATTGACGATGAAATTTTGTGGATGCAATTTTGATGATTCAGCAGCTTGGTCCAGGGGCATACTTAGCAAAGGCCGACATCAAAAGTGCTTTCAGGTTATGCATGGTGCATCCTCATGATTTTCACTTACTAGGAATAAAAATTTTACATAAATATTATGTCGACAAAGCATTACCATTTGGGTGCAGTATAAGCTGCTCAATATTTGAATTTTTTTCCACTTTCATCCACTGGATAGTTCAAACAAAGTTAAATTCTCAAGGTGAGTTGATGTATTACTTGGACGACTACCTATGCGGAGGATCTGGAAGAGATAAGTCTGAATGTCAGTTAGTCCTGTCAACATTATGAGCAACTTGCGACGAACTCGGAATCCCTATAGCCAGTCACAAAACAGTAACACCAACAACATTAATCAGCTTCCTTGGATTTCAGCGAGACACAGTAAGGATGGAGTTAACCATACCAGCAGACAAAATACAGGATGCTAAGGATAAACTTAGGTTTGTCATGTCAAAATCCAAAGCAACCAAACAGCAAGTAGAGAGTCTCATTGGTTCACTAAATTACATAGGTAGGGCCATTCCCATCGGCAGGGCCTTCCTACGGAGATCCATTGATTCAATTTGTAGTATTAAGAAGCCCCATCATAAAGTTAGGGTTACAAGGAATATGAAAGATGATTTTCAGATTTGGCTTTCATTCCTGGATAATCATAATGGAACGTCATTATTCCTGGATCAATGCTTGATTACCAATGAAGCATTACACCTCTACATAGACAGTGCATCAGGAGAGTCATGTGGGTTTGGAGCGTACTTTCATGGACGCTGGACCAACGGTTCATGGCCAGGACATTGGAGGACTTAAGGCCTAACACGAAACATCACGCTGCTGGAATTCTTCCCAGTCTATGTTGCGGTTAACATTTGGGCTGATGCCCTCAGGGGCAAAAAGTTAATAATAAATAGTGATAACCAAGCAGTAGTGTCCATACTGAACAAGCAGTCAACTAAATGTAAGAATACTATGCAGTTTGTGAGGCAGTTTGAACTTCATTGTCTCAACATAAATTTATTAGTCAAAGGTCAGTATATTTCTGGTTTTAAAAACAGCATTGCAGATTCCTTATCTCGTTTTGATCTTCAGAAGTTTCGTCAGCTGAAACCAGAAGCCAGAACCAAACCGACACCAGTACCCAAGAATATGTGGCTTATCTAAAATCCGAGGCTTTTGCCTTAATTAAAGCATCAGTGTCGAGCAATACTCAACACACCTATGCAGCTGCATTAAGGTCATTTGACAAATTTTGTCACAATCATAAAATACCTATGATTTGGCCTGTGCCGGTAGATGATATTTTATGTTACATAGCCAGTATGTCTAGGAAGGCCTTGGCAAGCTCAACTATAGCTAATCATCTCTCAGCTCTTGGCAGACATCACAAAATTAATAGCTGGTCTGACCCTACTGAAAACTTTTTAGTTCGCAAATGCATGCAGGGATACAGAAATACAGCAGCTCTGGTGTCGACACCTGATGCAAGACACCCAATCACAATTGACATGTTGAAGAGGCTGCCTAGTGCCCTCCAGGCTATTTGTATGTCAGGTTATGAAGCTTGTTTATTTGCTGCCATGTTTAACTTGGCATTTTTTGCATTCCTACGGATTGGTGAGATAGCGTTTGTGACCAAGATAAATCAGGACAGAACACTTAAATTGGCAGATGTCGGTATCATTGCACAGGCAGTGCACGTTAAGATTTGCTTTTCAAAGAATGATCAACATGGCAAACGCACAACTCTGATAATCCCACCTAAGTCTGATGCTACAATTTGCCCAGTCAGGTCATTAAGTGCATATCTGTCTTTACGCTCAACCCAACCAGGCCAGTTCTTCATCCATTTGAATGGTAAAGCCGTCACCAGATATCAGTTCTCTGCAGTACTCCGGAAAGCCTTACAGTTCCTCAACTTTCACACACAAAACTACAACACACACTCATTCAGGATTGGAGCTGCTACATATGCAGCAACACAGGGGATACAACATGAGCTACTTTGCACATGGGGTAGGTGGAAATCTGCTGCATATGTAAGTACATTCGCATCAATATGTTGTAACAACTCATTTTTGACAGAAATATGGCTTGTCGGCTCCAGCCTTATCTACTGGGCTCACCGGAGAGCAGTTGCAAGGCCAGTGGGATTGGACCTGGGTTTGCAGAAGTATGGACTCAGCTTAACATGGTATGGGAGTAGGGGAATGAAGTGGAAATCATTGTTGCCATTTCTTCAGCAAAAATTAAGGCGCAGTCCTCCACCAGCATGGCTTCTCCTTCATTTTGGCGGTAACGACCTTGGGGACGTGCCAACAACAGTACTGTTACAAATGGTGAGTCGGGATCTTACAAAAATTCATCACATGATGCCCTTCACACAAGTCATATGGTCAGATGTTCTGCAGAGGGTCACATGGCGGGGTATACCAGACGGCAGAGTAATGGAGCGCAAGAGGAAGAGGTTTAATAGATTTGGTAGGAAAGGTGTACTAGACCTTGGAGGTCGCGTTCTCGAGCACAATGAAATTAACATAGCAGACAGGGGTTTGTTCAGACAGGATGGTGTCCACCTGTCGGACATTGGCAATGACATTTTCGTGGACTCATTGCAGGAGGGTCTTGAGTTATTTGCTGGTTTGTCCTCGTCCAGGCATTCATTTCAAAACTAGTGTCGCGCGTATTCAGTTCTTATGCTTAATCCTCAGGGGAATGAGCTTGCTATAAACCAAGCTCAGTGGCGGAGGTCGTGGCAGGCAACTCAATTTTTCTCATTAACTGTAAGTAAGTTCAGCCTCAACATGCTAACTGCACCTCAGGTAGTGTACCCAAACCACAGAGGATGAAAGTGTATGTAATGACACAGGATGGACTGCAGCTCATGCCTCACGTTGTGTTTAGCCACGGAGGATGGACTGAACTGTCATCTCTATTCCGGCCCATTTGGTCATGTGTATATTCCGGCCCATTTGGTCATGATGTGTATATTCCGGCCCATTTGGTCATGATGTGTATATTCCGGCCCATTTAGTCATGATGTGTATGTTCCGGCCCATTTGGTCATGATTTGGTAGTTACTCCATTGCGTCACGATGTGTACCCATCTAAACCTCGGACGCAAGCAATGTTACTGCATTGCTGTGTACTGTGTAACACTGCTTGTCGCGACTTCCGCCTGTATTGTTATGTAATAAAGCTGCGCCCGTTTTTTTTGCCACTGAAGAAGCATCGTGTTATCTTTTGTATTCTTTCATTCACACTTAATCTAATTTGTGAAAGCCAGTATGAAACAAATTTGTTTAAGTGGGACGTTAGGCACCCTACCACAGTTCAGTGGATTTACCTCCCTTACACCAGTGTGTTGGTAATCGTAAACCGATCACGTGACGCACGTGACTGCATCAAGCCTCTTTCTGCGTACACCAGCAAGCCGCTAAACGCGAATTTCATAGGCAACATATTATTTATCCCTTCCCTCCCAGCCCAATTTTGCTTTCTTTGTACATGGGTTTACATGTTAATATTGTAATGTAAACATGTTTTTCATCAAGGTAAATCAATACTTCTTGCATCATACTTCCCGCATAATGAGTGTGCATATCTGTTCATTAGCAATATAAGTCAATGATTCAATGAATGCATAAGGATGTGTTTTTTGCTCTAATTTTCTTCGTGTTTCAGAGCCTCTCACCAGTATACTATATAACTTGGTGCAGCAATAGTTGGCGGAGGTCGTGGCAGGCAACTCAATTTTCTCATTAACTGTAAGTAAGTTCAGCCTCAACATGCTAACTGCACCTCATGTAGTGTACCCAAACCACAGAGGATGACAGTGTATGTAATGACACAGGATGGACTGCAGCTCATGCCTCACGTTGTGTTTAGGCACGGAGGATGAACTGAACTGTAATCTCTATTCCGGCCCATTTGGTCATGTGTATTCCGGCCCATTTGGTCATGATGTGTATATTCCGGCCCATTTGGTCATGATGTGTACATTCCGGCCCATTTGGTCATGATGTGTATGTTCCGGCCCATTTGGTCATGATTTGGTAGTTACTCCATTGCGTCACGATGTGTACCCATCTAAACCTCGGACGCTGTAACTGCATTGCTGTGTACTGTGTAACAATGCTTGTCGCAACTTCCGCCTGTATTGTTATGTAATAAAGCTGCGTCCGTTTTTTTTGCCACTGAAGAAGCATCGTGTTATCTTTTGTATTCTTTCATTCGCACTTAAACACCAGATGCTGTCATTAAGGCCATGAAGAAGATTTTTTCCCATGCTACTTTGCCACAAATTATACGATCAGACAAAGGGCGAGAATTTGATAATAAGAAAGTGAGGTCTTTTTTTAAGAAACAAGGGCATCACTTACTATGTCACACAGAATGAAACACAGGCGTCCTATGCTGAGAGAGTGATACGGACCCTCAAGACAACAATGTACAGATATTTCACGTTCAAACAAACTGTCATTATTTGGATACTTTACAAGACCTCGTCCGGGATTATAACCACAGACCTCACAGATCATTGAATGAACTATCACCCTCAGATATTAATCAAACGAATGAAGCTCTGGTATAAAAAGGAACAATATATTGATACTTTGATGAGACCAGTAAAATCGAAAGTTGAAATCACACAGAAGTCTCACCAAAACCACAACTGCGAATTAGACAAAAGTGTCTCTTGTCTCCCTGACTTAAAAGCAACAAATCTACTGCTGGTTTGAAACCATTTGAACTGATGTAAAGAGGGAACACACCATCATCCTTCTCAAAACCAAATACATTGACAGAAATTTTATTTCGATTTTCGAATTTTGAAATTTGGGAAAAGGGTACAGGTATATCAATGCCTTTCAAGTCAAGTTCATGTTCATACTCATTATATTTATTAACTCTTTCTGCATGATTTTTTCTATCTACTGGATGTAAGGCAGCGAGTATGGACCACATGAAACATTTTTTATCATCATTTTGGATATTTAAAATGGCTTTCTTGTTGGCCAGATACTCAGGCAGAGAAATGTAGGAACTTGCTGCCAAGGGTGCATATTCAGCTGTGTTCACTTCAACATGAACAATATGGTCTAGTAACCACCCACTCCCTTCAGCCTGAAATTCCTGTGTGGATGTATATAATTTCTGATAAGCCTCTGCTAATTGTTGCTCAATTTCAGAAAATTGTGTGGCCCAAAAGTTGATGGTTCTGACAATGGGTTCTGCTAAAATGCTTTCATTGTTTTCGTCGTACTTTATAAATTTGAGTTTCAACGTGAGAAACCATTTCATACCTTTCTTTTTTAACAGAAAATCATGTAATAATGGTGTAATGTTTGTCTGTTCATCTGCGAGAAACTGGAGAATGTTCACACTGTTTGCTTCATTTGGTGTTAATGCTGTGGTTGACACACTACCCCCAAGAGCTGACCTCTGACCTCCCCCAATCTGGCTGCGCCTGACCTGGTACCGCTCCCGACGTCTCACGCAGCTGTCACATTGATTCACTTGCTGGCTGGAAAACCGCTCAGGGAGAGGTCGCAGACAATGGAGACATTCTCTACCTTTTGTCGAGCATTGTTGACAGAAGAGCTTGCCGGGCAGTAAACACTTGACATGTCCAAACCAGTTACAGGTTGCTCGTCGAGCCGGTGGAGTATTATCAGGTGACAGTGGATGTAAGCAGAGATGTTTCGGTTCTGAGCCAGTCGGTGTTGACTTCCGTTTAAGGTTACAGCGGTGATTTTCCAAGTTATCCCGTCTGGTGAATGTATGTTTACATTCTTGACAGGTGATTATGTCATTGCCGTGAACAGTACGAATATGCCTAGCCAGATGCTGACGCTGCTTAAAGGACTTCTGGCAGATGTGACAAATGTTACCTATGGACGACACTGGTGTAGATACAGGATGTGCCGTCACTCTTGGTGTTAACAATTCAATTCGTTTGAGATTGACTTCTGGATCATCTGTACAATTGTTAGCAGTGGCCCAAGTTTCCAACTCAGACAGTGTCTTCACACTGTTCAGAAAGTTTTGTTTCGATTCCATTCTATAAACAAAATAAAATAAAAATTACCTGTAGAAGTTCTTAAAATTAACAACAGACTTTCTGCTTCATAAATACAGATTAAGTTCGATGTTGTGGTCTCGGTTGCGAATTATACTAGTAATTTATCAAAAGGATAGCATCGTATTTTGTTATCTCAACCATACAATATTTCACTTTCATTATTTAACCACGTAAAAGTGTTTAATAGATATCTTTGAAAGCAAGGTTTTTGTGCTTGAATAACATTCAATTACCTTGTGTAACAGCTTAAATTGACACAACGTCCGTCTCGGCTGCTGGCAACAATATGACATGTTCATGCTACTCTTCAGTTTATAAAGGATTACAAAAAGGATGAGTTCATTGTGTGCAGATGATAATCGTTTCCATGCAGACATATGACATTTGTCATTGCATACACGCGAGGGGTGATAGGTGTGGTCACAATACATACTTAGACTGAGCCTCTGGTGTGTTTTATGAATGAATCACCCCTACATCATAGACTCGTCTGAAAGGCTCCTGACATGTCTGAGTTTGTTTAAACGCTCTGCAACGGATCACTACACAACTCTTGTATAGGGTACTACATACGGTGGAACGATGAAAGGGCAGCGTCCCGCATACCACTTGATGAGTCACCATATCAAACAAGCAGTTTTCTCTCAGCATTAAAACACTATAGACACATGGCTGTTATGTGACCTAGTTCAACACCGTGTTCGTAGTAACAACAGGATTCTACTAATCTTTACAACAACTGTAAACATAACAGGCATAACTACATCATACCCTTTCTATTTTAAAGGAATTTCATACATACTGTTGTATAGTTTTAATTACACCGATGTTTGAATGTATAACCGTTGGTCTATCTTTAGCGTGCCGTCATTTAGATTGTCATGCCTCCGTGCTTGGGGTCAATGGGTGCAAAACGTCCCTGGGGCAGAATGCCCAATGTGCCTTCATCACAAGTTTTCTCAGAAACTACTAAGTTACATGTATGAGAGTTTTTATTTTATTCTAAGGGATACTCGTCAAGACCGAGTTCGAAAAGTGGTCCACTCATTTATTTTTTGGAGAGTTATGTCACCTTTCAACTTAGTGCAAAGTGTGTGAAATGAGGGCAAGTTTTCTCGGAAACTAACTACTGAAGTTGCATGAATGAAAGTTTGGATGCTTATCTAAGATATACTTCACAAGACTGTGTTCGAAAATTGGTCAGTTATTTGTTTACAGCATTACGGCCCCTAATCCATATTATTCTTCCCCGTGGGAACTGTTAATTTTGTAGCATGTATGTCGACATGTTGGTTTCATTGAAATTTCAAACCATGCAGTTACCGAAACGAAACATACAAATAATGTGCGTGAAATGTTGATGCTATTCTTTCCCAGCAATAAGAGATACTTCTAAATCGTCTTGCTATTCTGAAAGTTTCGTAATGCAGATAACACATGAAATTTGTTTATTTTGTTTTTAAAAGAGCTAAGAATGTTTAGGGGAAATATATATCTCATTTCACTAAAGTTAACCGGTCTATATTTTGTAAGAATAAACTATTGCGCATTGAGCGATTATCTCCTTTAGCTATTGGCGTAGTATAGACCTTTTGTCACTCACTGACCTTGCAATGCTGCTCGTTGTATCTTATTCAAGCTGTATCACTGAGAGTGAGTGATTATCTCCCTTTCCCGAACAATTTCTATTGCGCAATACCTTTGCAATGTATCGTATGTTATTCAGGCAGCCATCGAAAAACGTCCCGGGCAGGAATTTAGGTCAAACTTGTCACGCGCACTCCATCTTTCAACTACACATTGCTATTGCAACATATTGTTTAACACGATTAAATACCAGGTTTCTATAAAGTATGACTTTGTTCAATGAACAACACATGTATAACAACGGGTTTGATATGAGAAATTTGTAATTAGTTGTCTTCATAATCACATGTATGGCGCTTGCTGTGCATAGTTGAGCACAGTATTGTTTCAAATAGTTCGCTGTATGTAATGTATGATTCATACCGGTACATGCGGCAGTTTACGGCTCTGCATGGTTTATTGCTTTGACAGTATTTTTAATTTCCGGCAGAGGCTATACACCCGTATACGTTTTTTGCTTCTGGATACATAGGTTGGGCTGTAGTTAGCAATTATTTTCCTAAAAGATTATACGGTTGCATGATATCTTCACGATGTTTGGGTTGAACATAGAAACATTCTTCTAAACATACTTCAAATCTAAACTTGAAGCAATCACAACACAAACCAAGTTAACCAAGCGGAACCGTACACAAGAGTGAGTGAGTGAGTTGGGTTTAACGCCATTTTGAATAGTATTCCGTGTCAGCTTGATGTGGGGGGAAAGTCCGAAGTGATGCAGGTTTTAGACGTTCACCACTTTGGTGAAGCAAACGAGCAAGGGTTTTGTGCTGACAACAAAATCAGGGCGATCCGGGATTCAAACACACCGTCATAGGTTTCTGGCGTGCCCAAGGGAGACAACTCTGCATAGCGAATTGCAGCGCCTTCGGCGGCTTGGCCAACCGTGCCCCCGTACACAACTGTAAGAAACTATCATACAACAAAGATGTTTTAGATGAGATATGTATTGCGTAACATTCCATGAAGAAACAGTGGCAATATTACACTATCACAAACTACAAAATACATGCACAATAAACGACAAATATAAAACACCGGTACATTCAACACACAAAGGAGGTACATTATAACAATTATATTTCAAAACAAGGGTATTAGAATGATATTAAATCAACAAAATGAGAATTGAGCATAACTATGGTAATGTTGTACATACAAAGAATTTGTTTGTTATTGTTGATATAATAACAGATCTTGAAAGTTGTTTCTGGATAACTGTTGGTAAAATTATTAAGACCTGTTCCTTTTAACAGAGTGTACCAAATTCTCTATCATGATAGAGAATTGTCATTCTCTTTCTTGGTTGTATTATGTAAGACAGTGCGTAGTGTTGTTCATCTTCTGAGACATCACATGTTTCACAGAGA